AATCTTTAAAGAACCCCTAAACTAATTATAAAATCGTTTGTGAAATTGAATTTGAGTCAAGGCACATTAATAGGAAACAATTAAACATGATTGAGCTTAATTCGTTTTAGGAATGAGAAATACTCCTAAGATATTGCTTTTGTCATAAAGCTAGTGAAGAAGATCGAGTATTAAAACTTTAAGGGAAGCGGAGGCTAGGAGAATGAAAGGCTAGCCCAGGTTTGACATCCAAAAGGTTGGATATTCTTGTCTATATCCTTGTTAGCCTCACTTTAAATGATTTTGGCCCATGAAAATGTTTTAGAACAAAATATGTTTAAAGAAAATGATTTTAAAGGAATAGCATGAGAATGTTATTAAGTTTTCCAATGATTTTGGAAATGAGATTTTAAAGAGTATCATTTCTTAAAATGAAATATTTTAAGAAATAATACAAAGCATGGTGGCCTCAGAGATCGGGATGTGGGAATCGCATCCTTGGGGGCAGGTCCTGAAACCCATACGGATCCACTTCTTGCTTAGTGGAACTATGGCTCTGCACTTTTCACTAGACAGACATTTTACCACTTCTTGTTCAGTGGTGTGATGATTTGCACATTTTCATTTTTTAGATATTTTCTACTACTATGTGAGTATTTCCTTTTTTTGAAAAAAAATAAAGATGATCGGTTCCGGGTGTATATCTTTGGACCGTGAGTACCTTGATTTACAATGTTTTATAAAATTGTATGATCGGTTTCGGGTGTATGTCTTCGGACCGTGAGTACCTTTTTTAAAATGTTTTATAAGATTATATCCTACTGGGCCTTCCGCTCACTTTTATTATGTTTTCAATGTTTTAAACCCCTCCTCCAGAGTTAGCGGTTTAGATTTACAGTGTGACAAGTAGATGCCAATGGATTGAAGGTGCGAAATTCGAAGCGGTATGTTTGTCTCGAATTTACGGTTTTAAATTATGAGATGTACTGTATTTCTGTATGTAAACTGTATTGATCGACGTTGTCCTTGAGTTGTACTATTTTCATTGGACTTTATGGACTGTTTTAAATATTATTTGTGAAAGAAAGTCTCCGGAGCAAACTATATTGATATTTATGTAATTATTTTGTGATTTGGTTAAACAATCTTGTTTAATTAAGTTAAATTTTAAATTAAACCCTAATAATCACAGCCCTATCCTTAGGGTCGTGACACTGGATGATCTTCCTCTGTCTCCTAAGAATGTGTCCAGGTTCATATATCAGTTTCGAGAAGGTTTCAGAATTAAAAGCAGATTGATTTGGACTAGTTTTGAGAAAGTCGACCTTGACAGCTATGTTGCAGTTATTGTTGCAACAAGGATCTGCAACAGATTTGGTTCAGCGAATTAATTGAAGAGGTCGTCAAGCTGTTAGCTTTCTGCCTATTTATTCAAAGAGTCTCTCGGTTTATGGTACACCTTTTGATTAGTTTTGCTGGGTTGTGTGAGAGGTGAGCACTTGTATTCAAGAGAGATGATTTGAGTGTTTTTGAGAGAAAAACTTAGTTTGAGTGATTCCAATGTTAAAAAGTTTAGGGGATCTCGCTGTACAATTCCATTGGGAAATTGCAAGTTCATAGGCGTCTTCTTAGAGAGGGAGTCTCGAGTAGATTAAATCCAATTGAATTGTGAAAGAGTTCTTAGTGGATTGTTCATCATTTGGGCATGCCCCCGCGGAGTAGGTTGTTACCGAACCGCGATACCATTTCTCTCGTGTTCTTTTATTTTACGTTTCTGCATTATTCACATTTGTCTTATAAAGTGTTAAAAGACTCAAACCGATATCAACAATTCCATTTGGCGGAGGTTTGTGAGATATGTGAATGGAAGTCATGTATTGGTCTAGATACATTGTCCTCATTTTCATATCTCGTGGGGTGTCCCTCCATTGTTTATTAAGTATTATGTCATTTAAAAATTTACCAATCTAATCATACAAATAGGAAGTAAATAAACACTAGAAATATTTTAACAATTTGTGAGGTGTCAAAATTTAATTAGATAGATAACGAATGAGATATGAAAATGAGACAACGGATATTGATTCATTGGTATATTATTCTTTTAGAGATTTTCTCTAGTGTTTTTTTTTTTAACAATACTGGTGTTTTTTATTTATCAATCGTCAGATCTATATTAAATCTGATTAAAAGTTAAAATAAATTAAAAAAATAATACGAATCTGACGGTTGATAAATAGAAAACACCGGTGTCTCTAAATAGAAAAAACACTAAAGAATTCCCTTTTTTTTTATTAAGTTCATTTTTTTCCCTAAAGGTGTACTAGCATTGGTATGGAGTGATATGATTAGTTGGTACCAGTGGAGAATCTGTCCATGAAGAAGAAACATGGAAGTCGCACGATTCCTAATCTTCATTATACATTATTGGTGGCCCCTTATTCTGATGCGAAAAGGGTTTTGAATCTTTCAGATTCCCTTCCTATGAAGCTTTCGATCAAAGAAAATAAGTAAAAGTGGACATTAATTAACAAGTTGAAGAAAAGAAATCGCCATAGAAAACGTACGCCATAAAGGTTGAAAGGAAAACCATAAATATATCCATTAAAATAAGCCGTAAATATAGAAGTGTTACGGCTAATGACTAGTGAGTTCGTACACAAATTTTTTCCTTTCTTTTATGTAGTACTTCATATTTTAAGTGGACAGTAATTTTTTTTCCTTTCCTTTTTTCGACTATATGATTTGAAATTTCATACGCGCTTCATATAGATGTTCACAAGTTACCACCCTCGGTAATAAGTAACCTTTCATGACCTAGAACTTTGAATTGCATATATGGTACATCAATATATTATTTCTTTGTGTTTTGAAGTTATATTTAATTTTGCATGAAGAAAAACAAGAACCACACTCAGATATATGATATCTTAATTATACACTTTAAATCATCTCCAATGTAAATACTAATATTAATTGTATATTTATCATCAAAAAATATAATATGATATGTTATTTTTATTTTTACTCCAATACATGATGCTATTTGAAATGTTAAATTTATTTTTTTTCATAATTATTAGACTTTGAAAATTATAAAAATAAACTTTTATGTTTAAAATAATTAAAAAAATGTAAAAGATGTAATGATTACATGAAAAATAAACATTTTAACTAATAGCAATTAAATGTCAAATTTCTTATATCTTATACTTAGTTAAAAATTTACCATAAAGTATAACATATGAAAAATTTATCTTAACAAATAACATTGCATTGCAGAGTGATTTTTACACTTAAATGTTAAATTTATAGTTAGCTCATCAATTATAGCAATGTATTATAGATGCTCTTAGAGATTTGCATTTCTCTTTAGACTCTTGAAGGGGGCAAAAATATAAAAATAAAAAGTTGGCCATCCCTTAGCTCTCGTATAGTTAATATGACTTACTAATAAACCTTGGTTTATTCATGTCATAGCATATAACTTCAATATAAAAGTCATTAAAGCAGCGTACCAAGTTGTGTGTGTGTGTGTGTAGCAGGGTTTCTCTCTCTCACTCTCTTTTGCTACAAGTGATTATACATTCACTAGCAGTATAATTTATAGGTTTGAAAAAAAAAACAATTTAAATTTTTATAAAAAAAAACACGTCAGTAAAAATATTTAAATATATACAAACCTATGTAATTGGTGTCATGTATCAACCGTCCATGTCAAGCCAGAAAGTTCAGGGAAGAGGAGATCTGGAGAGAGAAGGTAAAGTGCCAAATTTATGTGTTGAATGCTTCAAAGTTCAAACCGCACTTGCTAGAGAGTCTCAGAGAACCCCTTTAAAATGAATTTCAGCATAATATATATGTCCCACAATTTAAAAGATGTAAGCCTGATGATCTGTATAAAACTGCTAGATCTTCATGACGTGAAATAAATTTTCTAAAGCTTTTAGCAGGTTACAATAAATCTCATTGTATTGATTCTAGTGCAATAGTTCCTGAAGTTCCTCAAATAAGGACCACATGAATTTATGTGGCACGAGCGGTCGTTAAGGAGAAAACATACGACACCCAACTCAAAAATTAAAAAATAAGCTAAAAATTTATTTTCAAGGAGAAAATTAAAAATTTATATTTTAACTTTCATTCAGTTTTTTACTCAAATTTTTAATTTTAATTTACTACAATAAATAATTCTCACAAAAAATTATGTTTAATTTTTTCTGTTATAATAAAAAAAATTTTAAAAAATCACACAAATTAAAAACTCCAATGAAAAAGTAAATGGGATGTAAACTATATATCAAGCACCACAAATGAACCTGAGACTGAGAGTTGTCGAAGTGTGGGGTGGGGTGTGGGTAAAAGACAAAAAAAAAAAAAAAAAAAAAAAAAGGATTTTCATGATGAAATGATTAAAAAAAAAAAAAAAAAAAAAAAGATGATTTTCATGATGCAATGATTATTATATAAGCAAAACAATTAAATATAATTAGTTAATGTTAAACCTTTGTATTTGCTCGGCAAATATGGAAATAGTGAAACTTACCGTCACATATAAAAATAAGTAAAGGGTTATGAGAAATATTTAAAAGAGAGAAACTGATGTACAAGGACAAAATCATAATAATGACAATAATAATATCAAATATTAATTAGCAATAAAGATAACAAAGCAGCCAAAGGTAGATATTATGGCTATGAAGAGTAATTTCTTTAGCAAACAAAAAGTAAATTAATTAATTTTCTGTCACATGCGTACCCCGTTTCTAGTGTTACATAACAAAATTGCAGAGGCCACCATTTTTTTTTCCGACTTTGTCCCTCATCTAAAGAACATCAAGAAAGGGAACTCTGACTTTCTTTTCTTTTTTTTTTCTTTTTCAAAATAGAAGGGACTAATCTAGTTCCAATTGCCTCGGTACACTCCATACTATATTAGTACAATAATAGTAGTTAAACTAAAACAAAAGCAAATAATAAGAATGACATAATAATAATAATAATGACATATGGGACCCCGGGCTAGTAATGATATAGGGAAAGTAACACTGTGCGGCAAAATTACTGTTGATGACGTTGAAGAACAAGATGAAGAAATAAGTCACTAATTATATATTTTTACTCTAAGAAACCAGTTTTTGTCAAAATAGCATTCCTGACCTTGCTAAGATCTCTACCTTTGAGCGTCCTTCCAATTCCTTCACACACTGAGAAAGATGAAATCTTACTCCTCGCGAGCTTTCTAGCAATCCATTCATGTGGAGGAACCATGTCATCATCATCATCACCACCACCAGCATCACCACCACCACCATCATCATCATCATCATCATTACAATCAGCATGATCATGATAATCTCCATAGCCATGACCATTAATATTATTGGCATTGCTAGTCCCATAAATCTTTGACCAATCCGGGATTTTCATGGGGGCTGAGGCTTGTCGAACTTGTACTGCCACTTTGGCTTGATCATTTGTTGTCGTTTGAGTGTTGGCCCTTCTTGGGATATTTCTTGGAGTAGAAGAAGTGTTGGGGAATATTCTAGAAGAACCAGATGATGATGAAATGTGCTTCTTCATTGTGGGACTTGAATCTTCATGAGAACTCTCTTTCACAGCAATATCCCATACATCTTCTTCTTCAAAGTTTTCATGACAATCATATCTTGTAGTAGTTGTTGCTGATCTCCCTCCAAAGCCACTCCTTTTGTTGATGACATGACCATTCCAATCTTCCATTCTCTACCATCAAAGTTTAAGGTTGAGAGAGAGAGAGAGAGAGAGAGAGAGTCTGGAAGAAGATAAAACTAGTTTTCCCTCGTATATAGATAGAGAAAATCATAAAAGAAGTTACTTTGAAGAAATATATATTAAAGATAAGAAAAAAGTGGATATGTGAGAAAAATAATAATAATATTGAAATATGTACTATTTTCTGTTCTTGGGAATAAAAAAGCATAAAAGGGTGCAGGAAGAGAATAATATCAGGAATCTACCTTTGCCTTTGTTTCAATGTTGCCATCCAAAAGAAGTATAAAAACTTTTTAAAGATTACTCAAAATGGTACCTTTGAGTTCCAACTAAACGAGGACAAAGGAAAACAAGTTGTTACCAGTTAGCGTTAAGTGAGTGAAGCCGTGAAAAGCCTTTTTCTTTCTTTCTCTTTCCCTGACCAGATAATGCCTCCAACGATGATCACATATATCAAGGATTTCAGTGCTGATACTCTGGGTATAACAATGGAGAGAAGGAAAATGACAAGAAAACTTGGTTGGCATGAAGTTGGGTGTTTTATTTTATAAGCCTTTTTGTGGCCTATCAGAAGCCTGATGCTGCAAAAACCAAGCAAAAGAAAATGATGGATTTTGGTGAGAATCTCACTTCTCACAATTTTCAACCTTTCAGGTAATGGTCACTGCAAAGTGGGTTTTTTTTTTTTAATTATTATTTGTTTATTCATTTATTTTAAGAATATCGGGGTAGAGTAGAAAAGAGGGGTACAAAGAAAATCGTAGAAATAGGTATTAAAAAATGTATATACTAGTACAGAGGTTTTATTCTGATGCGATTTTTATTAAATTTAATATTTAAACGTAGTACTAGTAAGGTCTATACTGTAGAAGTAGAAAGTCCTAAAAAAGAAAATTATTGTGAAAATCTCGGTAGTAGAAACCTGATCTTAATCTGACAGAAAAAAAATATGTGTTGTTAAATATAAGAGGATATTTTTTTTATTTATATATTCGGTTTTGGTACTATCTGACCTGTTAAAGTGCCCTTTTTAAAGTTATTTCTTAAAATTATTTTGATACTATTTGTTATAATAAAATATCTTGTAGATATTTTTTATTTTTAATAATATTAAAAAGATAATTTAACTTTTAAATAAATGTTTTGTTTTGTGCTTTGAGATTAATTTTTAAAATATACAGTATTTAAACTGTTTTTTTATTAATTAATAATTTTAAAAATATTTTTTAAAAACACTTCACTTATTTTAATTTTTTAATTTTAAAATGTTTTAAAGTATTTTTAGAGTTTTTTTAAATAGTTTATTGTTAATTAGTGAGAAAAATAAATGGTTCGTTTAGTTCGCTGATTCGAGTTTTTAATTTAAATTTAGATGTGATTTTATGTTAATTTTTTACTGTAATAAAACTCCAATTCTAAACTCGAATTGATGAAATAAATGGAGTCAAAACGTGCATTTTATGTTCTAAAAATTAGCATTAAAGTACTAAAATATTTCTTTAAAAGTGATTGTATCATTTTAATATATTAAAAATACATTATATTATTAAAGACACGATTAAAGGTCTCACGTATTTGTTGATTCGAATTTTTAATTTAATTTAACATAATTTATGATAAGAATTTTTATTGTAACATTAAAAATTATATGTAATTTTTTATGAGAGTCTTTAACTCTAATAAAATTAAAATTAAAAATTTAAATCGATCAAATAAATTAAACTAAAAATCCTTCTTTGTATCCGAGAATATTAAAATAATTTTATCTATTTTTATATATTATCATGAAAATTGGTGTTACAAAAATAAAAACAAGAAAAGGCCCACAGAAAGGACATGAAGGAAAACGATGATGACGAGGAAGGTATTGGGGCACTAAACCAAGTTAGCAGGTGTCAAATCAAAGTTATTATTGTTTTACTACTTATAGCAAACCAAGCTCAACAGTACTACTTTACAGACTTGATCTAGCATCTCATGCTAGGCATGACTGCCACGTGTTCTTTTTTTTTTGGTTTTCCAATTAGTGACGATAAATAGTGATGAATAAACAATTGTTTCTTCTCTCTAAAAATCTCTGAGAAGAGTACTGGCTTTTAATTGGGAAAAATGGAAAGAAAAATTGGTTTAAAAAGCCAAGCCAAAAGTCTCACTGATTTCCGCAACACCTTATCCCCAACTCAGAACAAACTAGAGCTAATTCGGCGGTGTCACAGAGGAAGAAAACTTCTTTTAAGAAAAGGCCTGGGAGTAGTACTAGTACTTCTCTGTTTCTTGGTGAGAGCGCTGTGGATGGATATATATTGCAATTGCATTGAGATATGTGGTGATTTTTTTTTTTTTTTTTTTTTTTTTTTTTTTTTTTTTTTTTTGGGGGCGGTTGGGTTTTACTGGGGTTTTTTTTTTTTTTTTTTGTTCTTTCTTTCTTTCTTTGGTGACGATAGGTTTTAGCTGTGGGATTGTAGAGAGAGCTTTGATGTTGAAGGTGGGACCCAAATCAAATGTAGTTGAGTCAGATGGGGTTTTGAGAGGGGGGGGGGGGTGAGGAGTCTACTCAAATCTCAAATCAGGAGGAAAATGACCTATAAGAGTGCTGCTGTGGTGTGTCAACGCCTTGTTTTTTCTCCTCTTATAGAGTTGCCTTCTTTTTTTTTTTTTTTTCTCTTCTTGAAAATTCTGCTGTTATTATAGATGAATAATGTCGTTTCGGTCTTTGTTTAAGTTTAAAAATTTAAATTAATAAGTGAATTTATGTGTAAAAAAGTATTATAATAAAAAAATTAAATTTAAAATTTATAAAAAAAAATAGTGTAATAAAAAATTTTATAATTTAAATTAACGAAACAACGCGACTTCAATTACAAATAGAAATATATTTCGTTGTAACACGTTTAAATTTCATTGAGAAATTGACCTATTAAAACAACAGTTCTATAAATAAACAATGAAAAATGACGGTCTCTAGAAATTTCATCTACAATTTATGCTACTTTACAGTATGCTGCCATTTTTTTGTTCTTCTTTTAACCATGCAGTGGTCTTTCCTTGTTGGTGCCTTCCGGATTCATATGGTAAAGCCATGGAAGAATTAATGCAAGTGGACTATGCTTCTTCAGAGTCTCTTGCGCTCACACGAATTCAAATATGATATATCAGTAGCCTCTTTTGTTCATCATATTTTTTGAAATTTTAAAGTTTCTATTTTTTATCAAGTAATAACTGACAACAAAAAACTTGTTCTAGATGGTTTTACCATTATCCAATCGTTCAAAAATAAAAAATAAAAATGTACTACCCGTAATTCTTCTAAAGTTCGACAAGGGCCAGGGACCTGCAAGTGTTGTTGATCCCATGCCCGTTATTGGACCCATGTTAGGTTAGGTTTTCCCAAAAACACAAGTGAAAGTGAGCAAACATTGGGGGAAAAACACGTATAGTATGGAATTTTGGACCTCATAATCAGCTAGAAGAAAGTGGAAAAATATACAACGCGGTGGAATTTTCATTTCAATGGGTACAATTCCGTGGGATCCTAGTAATAGAAGTTTTAGTGGCAAACATCAACTTTATCACCAAAGACTTTGTAATCATTGAAGCAAGAACTCCCTTTAAACCATCAAAAAAGGGATCTATTTGATATGAAATTTGATAATCATATTCAGGCCTTCGAATTCAACTTTTCCCGTTTTTGAAGATAAGTAGGACCGTGAAACCTAATTGAAAAGCTTCCACTGAGGGTTTTTTTTTTTTTCCCCCCTTGATTTTTTTTTTTTTTTTTTTGTCACCTTAAATTTCAATATAAGTGTCGTTACTAGTCCACCACTTTATCATCCATTGTTGAGCCACCAAAGTATGTTGGTTGTTCAATCTAAGCCACAAATAAAACAAAGTCAAGTGGCTAGAGAGTAATCTTAGCAACAACCACATTGCCCTTGTATTTCGACTTTTCATTTACTCGAGACCCACATGAGTTTTATTGTCAGATTCATGCTAATAGATGGTTTAAATACAACATGTCTATCAACAGAAATCCTAGCAAAGTATAGGAAACTTTTATGGTAAGAAGTGTTATTATACAATAGGGACTATTGTTTTAACTGTTGCATTAATTTTTTAATGGTTTGATCGATTTGTAAGTAGGATTAGTTCAGTATCGTGTTGTAAATTTTTAACATGAACACTCACTAATTAGACTGATCGGGCTGTTAAAATATTAATCCAACATTAAAACAACAAATTCTACCAATAGGGTAAAATTACAGTTTCTATGGTAAAAGTTCCTTTTTTTTTTTTTAAGAGAGAGAGACTGATACGGCATGAAAGGCTCCTCTTTTGGGACCTTTATCTAAAGAACACACATGACAATCAATAAATCCTTCAATTGGCATGCATTAGTCCAAATGGAAGTTATACCTTACTATTAGAAGAATTGGCAATGAATCCGGGATCCAATCAATTAGGACATCAACAGTGATAGATAATTAAAGTTAGCTCGAGATAAAAGTCTGATTTGCACTAGTGATTGGGAGAGGGACCTGTAATTAATGCTTCAAATGGCCATGGGAAATAAGATATTTAAGTATGTAAGTAACACTGAAAAGTAAGCGATAGGAGTTATACAACATGGTTCGCTTGCAGAATCTGAAAAGAAGAAATCATTTGGTTTTCTTTTTATCACCAGGGATGGAAAAAGAGGTAGTTGTCTATTTATAAGAGCTCCCATGGTTTGCAAGATTCCATTAAAAGTGATCTCAATGAGATGGGATGTAAGCTGCTTTTTTATTTTAAATGCTCATGTGTCACAACTTTTACTTTTCTGATTCAACGTTTATGGACACATGAACTAATAAAGCAGTTAATGCTGAGTACAAAGGTGCAATACTTGGAAGGTGACCTCTTAATTATTATTATGTAAGCTACACAAATGAACATTTTTAAGCTCTACAAACTGATGTGACCTTGCATTATTCTGACTAGGTGAAATTAATATGCAACAGATAAAGCTTCTAGAAAAGAATTAATCAAGATACCAGAAAATGTACAAAACCTCTGGACGAGATTGGGTCGGACCTACTTCTGCATTATTCTGATTTTTAGTGCTGCATGATAGAGCTCCATGTAGTCGAGAGCCGGCCGATTCCAAGACCAGTCCTGCTCCATCACCGTCTTGCAGAGCAAGTTGAACCAATCACGACTCTCGTACCATGCGGAGATCGCCCTGTAAAAACGATTGATGTTGACAGGAGTCCAAAAGAAACGGAATAAAAACAAGAAATATGTATGTGCATAAAATGTATCCTTTTAGAAGCCAAAACTACTCACCTATTAAGGGCATAGTCAACACCGGCATTATCAGCTCCATCAAAGTTAAATCCATTTGGTTCTAGGCCCTGTGCTTGTGCTCTCTCTTTATCATGGTCAACATCGAATACAGTATCGTAGAGCCCTAAAACGCAATGGAAATATGAATTGAAAGTCAAATACTTCTCGCTCCAAGGTATGAAAACGCAGTACTAGGGACTAAATTCAACATTTTTCAATTTTCTTTCCAGTGCTGTAAATTATCAGAAAAAGCTAAAAGTACTTTATTCAAACTGAGAAAAATACAAATATTTGATCAGCAATTAAAACATCACTATCCACCACAAAATGAGAGGATATGTACGCACCTCCAGTTTTTCGAACAACAGCTATGGAACCATATCTCATAGCAATGAGTTGGGTCAGTCCACATGGCTCAAAAATAGAGGGGACCAAAATAAAATCTGCACCAGCATATATCTGAAAGAAAATTCAAATGAGTTAGAAGTTATTGCAAACGCGACAAGTGAATGCACTACTAAAAATGATAGTAACAATCAAAACAATCAATGAATTTTGACGAGAACATACCAAGTGTGATAGTGGCTCATCGTACGTCAAGCAAAGACAAGCACGATCACCTTTAGCACTATGCAAATGATTAGCTAAATTCACAAAATCATTTTGGATCCGTGGATCTGGAGCCGAACCAAGGAGCACAACCTGCCGTCATACATGCCATTGTTATAATTTTCTGATTTATCACAAAGAAAATTGTGCTCTGATTATCATTGGCTCACTTGCAAAGAAGAAAAGTAAGATAAAAGCTAACCTGTCCACCACGCCCTAAGGTTTGCCAAATAGCGTGCTTGATGAGATGGATTCCTTTCTGATGTGTTAAGCGAGTGATAATACCTACAAGAGGGAGATCTGCCCTTTTAAGACCGAGCCTTTCTTGGAGGGCTTGCTTGGCAGCTCTTTTTCCTTCAACAACATTTTCAGATGTGTACGCTATCTGAGATAGCATGAATTGTGTATCAGACAGAATGAATTAGTGACTGAAGCTCACAAAAAAATATTTGTAAGGAATGGAGTCAAGAACTTGGTAAGCAACAGAGTTTTCTTTTTTTATTTTGGGATCAGAACAGAGTTGTTCACTACTTATCCCTGAACTGGATCTCAATAATCATATTAGGAAGCCAAGAGGGCTGAAAAAGAAATAATAAACTCAGAAAATAAATATACTTACAGGAATGAACTTATCATTATACGGGTCCCATATGTCTGGGTCAATTCCATTTATTATCCCGTGGAACTTGCGGAGATGAGGAGCAACTGAAGGATTTCCAGCAACCTCTTTTGAGTAAGTGTGGGATACCTGTGTACAAAACATCATTAAATGAAATGCACAACTGTAAGAAGATTTTAAAATTTGATACTTGCACTTAAATCATTCAAAGAATTACACACATAAACTTTCAATAGCATGGCATGGTAAGTATTAGTCAATGCTAGGTACATATTACAATCATAAACTTTCAATATTTATCATAATTGTCCAACACATATCTCACAAACCAAGTTTTATGGATTAATAATTATGAAACTACACGTGGAATTTGAAGGCAGATTTGAAAGGAAAAATACTCTGCTATCTTATTGAATGTTGCGGAAAAATACAAATAAATAGGCAGCCAAGTTTAGTTGGCTTATCCGAATAAAAAGGAAAGATAATTTCCTAATAAAGTGACTGATTTGAATTTAATATTCAAATCAGATTTTATTGACTAACTCCTAATCCTAAACAATCCCGGATAATCACTAGGAGATGATAAGGAAAGATTTGAATATCCTAAATCTTCCAAACTGATTCATCCTAATCAAACCCGATTTAGACCATTCTACCCTAATATGTCGACACTCCCCCTCAAGCTTGGACGTAAATGTCTATGAGTTCGAGCTTGCTTGCTAATTCTTCAAACGCTGGTCCGTGCAGTCCTTTAGTTAGAATATCAGCCGCACATATTCAACACTGATTATCCCACTCAATTTTTTCTGTGATGAAATGTCTGTCAACCTCCACATGTTTAGTTCTATCGTGATGGACTGGATTGTATGCTATGCTAATCGTAGCCTTGTTGTCGCAATAGAGCTGCATAAGAAACTCACACTTAATTCTTAATTCTTCCAGTAGTAGCTTTATCAAAATTGCCTCACAAATGCCATGAGCCATAGCCCTATATTTAGCTTCAGCACTACTTCTTGCAACTACAGCCTGTTTTTTGCTACGCCAAGTCACCAAGTTTCCCCAAACCTGAGTACAATACCCGGATGTCGACCTCCTATCTTCTTTAGAACCTGCCCAATCTGCATCCGTGTAGATTTTCACCTTCCTGTCCTCGCTTTTCCAGAAGAACAATCCAATCCTTGGATTCTTCTTGAGATATCGTAATATGCGGTAGACTATATCAAGATGTTTTTGGCGTGGTGTATGCATGTATTGGCTGACCACGCTGATCGCAAAGGCTATGTCTGGTCTTGTGTGTGAGAGATAGATCAATCTTCCCACAAGTCTTTGATATCTACCTGTGTACAAGGTCTCCTTCACTTGAATTCTTCCTTCCTCTTGGTTCAATTGGAGAGTCTATGGGCTTGCAACCGAGCATTCCTATCTCTTCTAATAAATCCATCATGTACTTCCTTTGTGATATAGAGATCCCCTTCTTACTCCTTGCAATCTCCATCCCTAGGAAATATTTCATGAATCCTAGATCCTCAATCTCGAATTCCCTAGCCATAATCTTCTTAATTTCCTCCATCTCTTGGAAGTCATCTCCAGTCAAAATTATGTCGTCCACATACATGATCAAAATTGTAACTTTGTTGTTTGTAGAGTGCTTGACGAAGAGAGTATGATCTGTTTACTCCGTGGCCTTTGATTACTTTGGAGAATCTTTTAAACCAAGCCTTAGGTGACTGCTTCAAACCGTATAAAGATTTCTTCAGCTTACACACTATATTGTCCCGTTTGCCCTTATAGAAACCAGGTGGGAGACTCATATATACTTCTTCTTCTAGCTCTCCATTCATAAATGCATTCTTCACATCAAGTGGATAAAGAGGCCAATCCATATTTGCTGCCAAGGATAAGAGAACCCTAACAGTATTGAGCTTCGCAACTGGAGCAAACGTTTCTATGTAGTCTATTCCGTAGGTTTGAGTGAAACCTTTTGCTACCAACCGGACTTTGTACCGCTCTACTGAACCATCTGGCTTTACTTTTAACTGTGAACACCCACTTGCACCCCACCACTTTCTTGTCTTGTGGTAGTTCTACTGGGCTCCAAGTCTCGTTTTTCTCAAGGGCATGCATCTTTTCTAGCACTGCAGTCTTCCATTCTGGAACAGCTAGAGCTTCTTCAATTGTCCTGGGAACATCAAGTCTAGAAAGGTTTGTTGTGAAACCACGAAACGAGGGTGATACATTATTATATGACACAAATTTGGAAATTGGGTGTTTTGTACATGTCTTAACACCTTTTCTTAGAGCAATGGGGTCATCTAGTCTATCATGGAGGGTTTTGGGATTACCTGAGGATGGAGGATTAGGACTCACCATAGGTTCGGATTCAGGGCAGTCCATAGTGCCTGTGAATTGTTTATTTCCTTGAAAATTTTTCCTCCGAGAGTAGACTTGCAGTTTTGGAGATGGTTGTAGAACTGGCTGTGAACAAGGCTGGGACAACTGCTCTGGCTGTGAAGACAACTGTGATGGTGGCTGTGAATCTTCCAGTTTGGTTTCGGTTTGGACTGGAACTGGAATATCGATTCTGGGGGTTGACTGTGGGGTCAAGACTTCTTCAACTGTGGCTGTGACATCCCATTCCCACACATAAGCTTCGGTATCATTACTCTCCCCCTGAAGCAAAGTGTGGGAATAAAAGGGTATTTCTTCAAAAAAAGTGACATCTCGGGTAACAAAGGTTTTTTTTGTTTGTGGGCAGAAACAACGATATCCCTTTTTTGTTGGAGAATATCCGAGGAAGATGGTTTTTATGGTAGGGGGTCGAGTTTGGAGCGATGTTGAGAATGGACGTGGACAAACGCAGTGCAACCAAAGGTTTTAAGGGGAAGGTTGTTTGTGATGATATTAGAGTGTGGGACTTGAGTTGTAAGGACAGATAATGGGGTTTGAAATTTGAAGGGGCGGCTGGGTAGTCTATTGATGGGAAAGGCTGCGGTTAAGATGGCATCACCCCATAAATGTTTGGGTACGTTCATAGTGAACATAAAGGCACGGGCCACTTCCAACAGATGCCGATTCTTTCTTTCTGAAGTTCCATTTTGTTGTGGTGTTTCCGTACAAGAACTCTGGTGATGATTCCATGTTGATCAAGATAATTACCCAAAGTGGACTGGAAGTATTCACCGCCATTATCAGTTCTTACAACAAAAATCTTTCTCTGAAACTGAGTTTGAACCATTTTATGGAAGGTTTGAAAGATTTGGCTGGTTTTAGATTTTTCTTTAAGCAAGTAAACCCAAGTCACCCGTGTATGGTCATCAATAAACGTGATAAACCATCGTTTGCCATTTAAGGTTGTTACCCTAGAAAGGCCCCATATGTCACTATGAATCAAGGAGAAAGGCATAGAGGGTGCATACGGTTTTGGTGAGAAAGGCACACGTGTATGCTTTGCAAATTGACAAATATCACAAGTAAATGAAACAGTATCTTTATTCTTGAATAGGGCTAGTAACAAAAATTTCAAATAGGAAAAACTGGGGTGGCCAAGTCTATGATGCCACAACACATTATTTTTTTATTACTAGAAACCGAAATAAAAGACACTCCTGACACATGTGCTTGTCGACTCTCAGATTCTGAATTCTCAAGGAAATAAAGTCCTTCATAGGCTCTAGCACTGCCAATCGTCTTCTCCGATGATAGGTCCTGAAATTGACACATAGAAGGGGAAAAATTAGCTACACAGTTATTGTCACAAGTGAGTTTGCTAATGGACAGCAAGTTACATGTTTAAGGCTAGAACATGTAGGACGGAATGAAGAATAAGGTTTTTTGAGATTTGGATTGAACCTATTTCAGCAATAATAGCTAGAGACCCATCGGCAATTTTAATTTTAGCAGTATTAGAATATTGAGTATAGGAGGAAAAGTGTTTGGAACAACCTGTCATGTGGTCAGAGGCACCGGAATCAATGATCCACGGTTCCTGGGCATGAAGTGATGAGATTAAGGCTGAATGGTTACCATTATGTGTCGTGGTGCACAATCCTACATTAGAAATTGGATTAGATGGTGGTGTGAGAAGATGATAAAGTTGCTCTAACTGCTCCTTGCTTACTGAAATTGAAGATTCTGCGGATTGTTGTTGTGTGGGAGCATCCATTCCATGCTTATCTTGAGAGGCTTGAAATCCTCTTCCTTCATTCTGCTTCCGAGGAGTCCAGTTTGCTGGTTTTCCATGGATTTTCCAGCAAGTGTCTTTGGTGTGTCCAGTTCGCTTGCAATGATCACACCAAGGCCGGTTTTTCCTTTGTTGGTTTTCATTGTTGAATTGTGGTCCTCGTGTGGCTAAGGCAGAGGCATCTGTGGTTGAGTTTCCAGCATCATTAGGAGTTGAGATAACACCACCATTGGAGGTTCCCAGCATTAATTTCTTTCGGCTCTCTTCCTGCTTCGCTTCTGAAAAAACCACACGAACATCTGGTAGAGGCTTTGTACTTAAGATCCTTCCACGAACATCATCTAAGGTTTTATTGAGACCAAGCAAAAACTTGTAAACTCTATCTCTTTCCAAGATTTCCTTGTATTGCTTATGATCCTCGGCACAATGCCAAGCTGATTCGTCAAGGATGTCCAGTTGCTACCAATGGCGTGATAGAGTATTAAAGTATTCGGTTATGCTTAATTCTCCTTGATGAAGATCACTTAGAATTCCCTTTAGCCTGAAAATCTCTGAAGTGTTTTCCCTGTTGGAGTAACTCCGCTTCACTGCATCCCACATCTCTTTTGTTGTTTTGTAATACATGAAGTTTTCTCCCATCTCGGTATTCATGGAGTTGATCAGCCATGACCAAACCATGCTATTTTATGTCTTCCAAGTTTTGAACTTAGAATCCTTTTCATCCGGTTGTGCAGCATCGCCGGTGAGGTAGTCTTCTTTTACCTTTCCTTCGATGAACATCATTACGGAATGTGACCATTGGACAAAATTTTGTCCATTGAATTTATGACTTGTGATTTGCTGAAAAGAGGCTTCAAATCCATTGATTTGGATCGGATTGACAGCCCCTGAAGAGGCAGAGGTAACCTCGGATGATGAGGTTTCTTTCCCGCCGGCCATCCCGTATTTT